CCAGTATTGCATCTGAGAAAAGCTGTCACAGCAAAAGCAAACCCAGTAAAAAAATTGGCTACATTTCTCCCTCTGTACACCTCTCCATGCTGTGATCCACTCTGGTTGTTAGCAGCAAATATGTAATTTTCACTGCGAAATAAATCTATTACTTGGGCTAAGGAGAACAGCCAAAGTGGCTTCTCTGTGAAGCCTGAATATGTCCATCTTGACCATAGGAAGTTACAGGTTATGGGGAAACCCTTTTTTGCTTTTTCAGGCTTTCATGTGTAAACACAAGAATAGAGAGGAGCTCTAGTTCTGTCAAGTCTCACTGCTCAGGCAACAAGACCAACTCTGCTTGTTTTTATGGACTTTCCCCTCACACTGATTACCCCAATTTCCTGTCCTTTGTACCATAATATTGTCTCAACACCCAACACCTAAAATATCTTTTGTGGCATGATTGATACCAACATGTTGGCTGTTTGTTTATTGGAAGCTCGTGTGGTTTACTTTGTATTCCTGTAGATGATCTGAGGGTTGATTCTGTTCCTTCTGTAGATACTTACACCTTTATATGTTTATGTTACAGAAGTTCAGGTCCAAGCAGGTCTTGAACAGGCTCAAATGACCATTTTTAAGGAGTTCATACCACAATCTCTGCTAAGGTGAAAAAGAAAGCCAGAATTTTTATAAATACCCTTTGCATTATAGCAACAGATACTTCTGGGAAATATTTACCACAAAGCATGACTCTCAGTAGCAAATGCTTTATATATTTTCCAAGATACACTGTCAAAGAAAGGACTATGAAAGCATAAGCTTAGGTTGGATTTATATAAACTGCATTTATGATTTGTTATAAACATGTCTGGGTGTTTTATGATCAGGAGAGTGTTGTCTCCTCTCACATCTCTGACTGGTCTTTGGTCAAGAAAGAGCAGAACACCTCCTGGAATTTCCTGAATATCTTATTGAATGAAGTAAGTAATTAAATTAATAAGAATGCATAGTTAAATCCTTCCAAGAACAGACTATTATTGTTTTAGTTCCAGTTCATTGTGCTGAACAAGCCTTATGCTGCAGGAGAATAGATCTAACCCAGACATTCACTAGAGCTACAGAATATAATGCTGTGATGTTTAGGTGTTATGGTAGCTACTCTTGGCATTTGGGTTTCACTGGGACCCTTGACTCTTTCCTCCGTGTTGACTTTTTACCTTATAAACTTTCCTCTGTAAGAACTACTTCTTGCTTTGTATATGGCAAACTGCCAGATTCAGTCCTGATGGAGTCCTGTTCTCTCTACCCTTGCCCAGAGGTATTCCTGCTTGATACCATGCCATCCCCTTCAGTTGTACTGTACTGCTGTTTTTGGGACTGTGAGATGAATCAAACCAAGAAACTAAACAGAAGACTCATAGGTAAAAATAGCCTCAGAGAGGGGAGTTTAAGATATTTTTGCTCAGAATGAATTGACCAATTAAATGTGTGATCAATTAGCAAATCATGCTTGCCACGTGAGACCCTAAATATCTCTGGTGGCACAAATTAAGAGATGATATAGAGACAAGAATTTGTTTGGAGGAAGGGAAGGTAGACAGAAACAGCTTAAACCAGCTTTTCTGTTAAGAGGAGAGTCTGTGGAATCAGTCTTACTGTCACTGTAAAAAAAAAAAAAAAAAGAAAAACAAACAAGAACCCACACAACACCAACAGAAAAATTTTAAAAGCTTGCTTTTGAACACCCTCCATTTTGTGACTGTGAGAATAAGGGCCTCTGTTTATAACACTACTTACAGAGTGAGTGTTTAATACATCAGCAGCTTGGCAGGATTCTTTGTGGTTCTCTTTCTTTGAGGGAGCATCTGGCTGTGTCAGCTGCTACCCAGTATAATGAAATATCAGACTGATCCAAATCATGTGAGCTTCAGATATGTGTCATGAAAAGAGTCCAACACTTGGGGCTGTTTGGTTGGATTATTTTCTCTCTTTTCCCCTCTGTGCATATTTATTTCATTAGATTTATCTCTCTTTTCTTTCTCTTCATGACTGCAGGTTTTTTAAAGTTCCAGATGAAGTGTCATCAGATAATATTTAGAAAAAAGTCAGTCTTTTGATTTCTTAGCATTTGTTCTATATTTAACTTGCTGTATATGTGGAATTGCAATAGACACTAGGAAGAACTCTAGCAGGCAAAGTTGTACTGCCAAGGAAATAGATACAGCATGACTGAATTTTGAGTCTTCTGAATCTCTCATTTCTATTACTTCTTCATCTGAGCTGACAATTGTTGGAAGAATCATCTGAAACAGACACTTTTTACGTGGTGGTTCAATTTTTGTGCACTTATAGTCTGCTGATCAGTGCCAGCCATCTTAACATCAGAAATGCTGTCCACACAAACACTGATTTAATGTTGGCAAATTATTTCTATTTTTAAAATAGCTGAAAATCAGCTCATAGTCTGATTGAATTACAAAGTTCACACACTGAACTTTGTAATTCAGATTAATTTCTAGACAAGAGATAATGCAATAACCAAAGAGCATTGTTTGCTCTGCATCTTATACCTGAAAGGTTTTTTTTTTTAATTGCTACTTCACCCCACTTGCCCAAAAACCATTTTATTTTTGTATTTACATGGCTTGAACATGTCCAAATTTTCACAGCTTTGGCATTTAAAAGATGGTTTCTTCTTCTAAGATACATGCATAACCCACAAAGTTAAAAAACTAGAAAAATCAAAGGTAAGACAGACCAGTTGATATTCACCTTAATTCAGGAAAGTGAAGACAGCTACCAGTAGAGTGCACACTCTAAAGTGGAGGAACTTGAGCAAGCATGGCAGAAGTCCAGTCTGGATGAATGGGTAGTTCCTGCTGGAGCTCATACCCGAAAGGGAAGACCACAGAAGTGGGTCATACCCAGGAGAAATGCTGAAGCATTGCCCAAAAATCTCGTCACTGGGGCACAGAACCTAGTGACAAAAGACATTGAAAAAGTGTGTTTTCACTAATAAGACCCAGCTTCTGGCATCCCAGTTCCCTAAGGCTGCCAGCAGAATCTGTTAGAGTGAAGTAGTACCCACATGATGGGAAGATGGCAAATGTCACTACAAGGCTTCACTCTATCATTTCTGAAAGGTCGTGGTGATGAGGAGTTTTCACATGACTGGAAAAAGGAAAATATCATACTCTCTTGAAGAAGGGGAGGAGAATCTGGAAAACTACAGGCTTCGCTGTCTCAGGGTCCCGGGAAGATTATGGCACAAATCCTCGTCAAAGTCGTTTTCAGATACCTGATTAAGAAGAAAGTGCCTGGGAACACACAGTAAGTCATGTCTGACCAACCTGATTGCTTTCTATATTTCAATGGCTAGCTCCATAGACAATGGAGACAGCAATGGACGTTGTATATCTTGATTTTAGCATAGTCTTCAATGCAGTCTATGGTAATTTTAGAAACAAATTGGTATGACACAAACTGAATAAGTGGATAATAAGAACAGCTGTCATTAAATCATATTACAGAATAAAGTGGAAACTCCTCTTTATTAGATAAGAGATTATTTTTAAATAGGTAATATAGAAATAATGAAAAGAATCAATCTACAATAAGAATTAAAGTACAAAGAAATCTTTGTTTCCAGAAGAATATACAAATACTCCCAAAGAAGATTAGGCATTCCTTTATATTTAGATAAATCCTCTATAAATTAATAGAGGCAGCCAAGCTTCCAAGCACAAAAAAATTCAAGGAAGAGTAAAATGAAAGCTGAGTTTGAAAGAAAAATATTCCCAAATTAAAAGGGTAGGAGCACAAGAAATGTAGGCTGCCCATTTTGCAAGTAGACAAATCTTCACTCCCCAGTTACTTTGGTAAAACCAGCTTTTCATGTTATGTCTTAACATCCTGTACCCTTCTTTAAGCCTTATTCCCATTTTATTAATTGGTTCAACATGATTAATATCAGCAGAATGTTTGCTGGGGCAGAACTAAGAGCTTTGCACAACTGCATGTCACTCTTGTCATGGAGAGGGGGTAGTTTCCCTGCAACTGTTTCTCAAAGCAGTAAATTTCTGTGAGTAATTATATAACACCACTACAAATAGAGATTGTGACAGCATTTTAATTCATTTATTTCAGCCTCTCTATAACTTCATGATTACAATTTTATTCGTTCAGGGGTTAACACTTCTGGGGTTAACACTTGCTTTTGTTTGCGTCACTGCAAGTGACCAAAGAAACTACAAAGGTGTTACTGAACAAGTTATTATTTTTTTCAATAAGGAGTCTATGTTGCAGTGGGGAAAGACGTTGGAAAATGTTTTTATTGTAATAGTGTTTGATCCCTACCCCTGTGATTAACAGTCTTATGCCAGCTATTGCTTCATTATTTACCTGTATCAGTGATTAGTATGTACTAATAGATGTCTTAGTTTTGAGAACAAGGATTGTGTGTTAGAGCAAAGAATGATAAGAGCAGTATGTCATGACCTGACACCATATTTGAGATACTCTTGAGGAAAGAAGATTAGAAGTTCTCGAACCATATCCAAATAAGTCCACAGGAAATATTAGCATATATGCATTTATTCAGGTAATGTAATGGGTATGTAATAGAAATATGATGAATGTGTGTTAGTTCCATGAGTATAACCTGATCTGATAAGTTGCTGAGTATGCAAGCTTTGTGGACCAATCTCCATGCATCCAGTGCTGTTAATAATGTCAGCTTTTTACCTAGCAAGGTGTTGGAGAGTTTGTTTCCCAGTTTTTGGTGATAAAGGGGTATATCAACATGAAGTATTTTATGTTACATTGAATTGATATTTAACTTTACCATTGCTGCTTCTCATTAAGTAAGTCCAATACAATTCAACAGTTTGTTTAACTCTGGTTTCAGCAAAAAAGAAACTTAAAGAAATATGAATTCACCTCAAAAAACAGAAATCCTTTTTTCAGTTCGATTTCTACTTAGATGACTCTCTTATTTCTCACTTCATTTCTTTTAGGGCTGACAGAAGAAAGAGGAGGTGAGCAAGTGAAAGAGGTCTATACTGGAAAAGGGGAGAAAGTTAAAGAGGGCTGTATTAAAGAGAAACACTTCTCTGGTCACAGAGAAACACTTCTCTGATCTGCTTCAGATGCACTTCTTTACAGCGCAGATCAGAAAGGTTACTGAAAGGTGACAGAAAGCATTAAAAATACAGCTAAAGTGGAGGCTTTACATTTTTTATGTAAGAAAGACACACAATAGTTCTCAATATGTAATAATGAACATTTATCTCTTCCAGTTATAGAAATATCTCTTCCAGTTACAGAAATACAGTTCAGAACAAAACAAAATTTCAAAAAGAATCACCAGCCTGAATAGCTCAAAACCATCCAGCTGTAGTTTACAATCTGATATATATGGATAAAGTCCTGGGTTACCTTTCAAAAGAGGAGGAAATCCTGAAAATCTATTCCAAATCCTAGGAAAAAAACCCCAAACAAACAAGCAAACAAACAAATAAACCCAACCAACCAACCAACCAACCAACCAACCAACCAAAAACACCAAAAAAACCCACAAAAAACCCCACCACTAATTGTTCCCCACTAAGGGAACAATTCCCCTTTGGACTAAATGACCTAAAAGTGTTTTCCATTTCTGTTTAAGACCTTAAAACATAGATATATGTTTAATAAATTTTTATAGCTTCTACAAACATCCCAAAATATACCAGCAGATCATTTGAGTTTAACCAAAAGACGCAGCTGGGCCTCACCTTGGAAAACCTTACAGCAGAAGTTGTTACCTATATAAGCAGACCTTCAAACTTGGTGAACTGTGCTCACAATTCATGAATAAGGTCCAGGGGAGACACTATGAGAGAGAAGATGACATCTTCTGTTCCCTCTTATCCTCATGACAGATGTCAGAAGCAAATAGTAGAGAATGAATCCTACTGATACATTGGAGCTCTGTTATACAGCCAAGTCACAAAGGCTAAGAAAAAGTTTCACAAACTGAGGACTAATCTATCCATTCAGTCCCAGATTTCTTCCACTTACTGATTCCCTCATCATGGAGGACTACTTTGTAGTCCTTGTGTACACCAAGTGATGACTGAAAAAGAAAGGGGACTTAAAGTAAGTCCTCTGCATTTCAGTAGCTATGAAAGCAATAAAATAAATTAAACCATTAAGTCTGACATTTTAGAAAGTATTTTCAAGAATGAACTTTACTTTGAGAGCTGCAAATCAATCACGAGGTTTGAAAAATAATTTTTTTGGGGCAGAGCCATTAATTTTACTTTCAAAGCAAAAATTTACTTATTCAGAAGCCTGTGTGGCATGAATATAAAAGAAAAGAAACGTTCCTCCAATATCAGGCAATATATAATGAGCTGCTAATGTGAAAATGCAACCAAACATTTTAATGTTGTAGTGACAACTACCAGAGGAATATCTATTAAATAGTTTAATTTAAATATGAAATGTCGTTATACATTTGAGACTTACGCATAGTACAATAACAAAGAGACATAGCACTTTCCCCGGATGGCCTAATTAGAGAAAGGATATATTAGAATTAGATTGATTCTATATTAATTCAACTTTTCTGAGTTGATTACTATCTTTCCACTTCAGAGGAAACATTTTGGCAAAGGAAATTTTGAATGAAACTTAATAGCAAATTGGAACTGCACAAGAATGTATCTTTTTCCTCTGTCACAGAAAAACTGATACAGGAATTTTTCCTTTTCATGGAAAAAAAAGTACTCCAGACAGTAAGAAAACTTTCATTTTTCCAAATTCAATGAACTCCAGTTCTGGAGTCTGCACACTGGAGTCCTAGAAGGCAAAATTCTTTTGACTAGTCACTTTGAGTCATACATCCTTTTCTCTTTTCTTTCGTTTGGTCTGTTTTCTCTAGATGATCATTTTTATCTTGTGACTAAATCCCAGCAGCTGCAGTAGCCCAGTGAGGGATATGACCACAAATCTCTGTTGTGGTAACTTATGTCCTAGCTTCTTCCCAAATAAATTTTTTAATTGTTTATTCATTTGAGAAGGATTTGTGTATCTGGATTAGCATCACATATCAATACTAATTAGAGTGCTAGTATTCACATCTTAGTGTCTCATCTTTCCAAAGAAAATAATCCTTGACCACATCTGGTTTTGCAATCGGGATTAATCAACAGATTCAAGCCATCAGTACCTACTTTAGGCTGAACCAAATCCTGCCCTCAGACCCTTGTAATTCTCCAGAGATGAGGGTTTTGTCGATGGTATCAATGTCAAGGGTGATATTTGCCTCTCATTATTTGACCAAGGGGATTCTTTCCATATAGATTTATGCAGCACACACCCTCTTTTACTCCCTAATGATTATCTTTCCCCAGTGAGGGCTGCAATTGTAAAGACTGCTTTGCAAACTGTTTGAAGCTGTGCTGCTAGGACATGGGCAGTAAAACTCAGCATGTTCACCAGGATAGAGAACTAAAACTGGGAATTACAACTTTATTGCAACATCTATCAATAGTAAGTGAGGAGACAGGCACAGTGTCAGCATGGACACACATACAGTGTTGCAGTTTCCATAAATGGGAATTTCAGTCATATAGCTTAATGTCTTGGACTCCCAGAGATTTTCCAGCTTGTACAGCGTCCTCTGAAACAGTTTGTACTTCCTGACCCAAAAAGCTTAGGTCTGTTGCTAAAAATTGCAGTTGGCAACATCTGTAATTGAATTATTGCTGAAAAGAGCTTCTAATTTCTACAACAGGATGCCTAGATACTCCTAAAGGATTTGTCTGGAAAGTGTTTTCCCAACTCACAAAACTGTATGAGCTTCGACAAATGTTCCTAGTCGAAATTAACAGATTCTTAAGTTTTTCAAGTTTTTCTCAGGCAGAAAAAAAAAAAAAAAAGCCAAACAAACAAAAAGAAAACAAAAAACTGTCAAGAAGTTGACCTCATAGTCAAGCAGTTAAGGACATTACACTATTTGTGAGACATCTTAGTCCAGTTCCCAAGACCCATGCAAATTTATTTCTACAAAGCAGTGTAATTCTAAGAACTGAAACTAGGAGGGAGAATAAGCATCGTCTGTGTTGTGGAAAACAGCGTTTAAGTTGCTGGTATAAGTCCAAAAGAGATAAAATCCAAAATAATAAACTGTGAAAGAAGAGAAACAATTATTTTATAATAAAATAGCCATATACAGAAGTCACATTTTAAATAATGAAGGACTTCCATATCTTCTGATTTCTAGAATCAATCCTATGCAATTTTCACACATCAAAATAGGTTTAGCTGGACTTTGCCCTCTTTAGTGCTTGAATGGACAATGACATACAATTCCTCACTTCCAAGAGACCAAACTTAGTTGGTTCTGGTCCAAGCTAGGGATAAAGGCAGGATAAAGCACCCAATCTAAAATCCTATTAAATAGTTGGTAAGTTGGTTCCAATATTCAAACTATAAGCCCAAAGCATATCATATGCATTTCATTTTAATCTTAATGTAGCAGCTGGAAACCGATTAAAGGTATGGATGCCTGGAAATAAGCAAATAAATATTTGCTTCAGCTTTTTCCACTTATAATAGCATTTTTCACCTTTCCATGGTGCGCAGACTTTTCCTTGCCTGCAGTGTTCTTTCTGTCAATTTCATTTGGGTTTTTTGAGTCATACAGAGTATTATTGACGGAAAAAGCCAGGAATATTGAAGGTATATATCTTTATGTAGTTGTTTGAATTTAAATAAAATTATATTTTCATATCTTTGACAGATATCAGCCCCTAGCTCCTGTGAGTCATACAGAAATCTTCACCTCTACACTTCAAAACATTTTGCCTAAATTATTTCCAACTATATCACTGACACACCTGCATTTTAGATGTGCCAGAAACACTACAAGCATTTCACAGCTATAAAAGAAATCAAAATATGATACATTTGCATCCCATATTGCATCACAGCATGTATCATTATTGTGGCTCAGAAACTGAAGACAAGAGCAAGGGCAAGGATAGGACAGGACAAGACAGGATAGGAACCTATTACCTGTTTCTTAACTCTTTAACTCTTGACACAGAAAAAAAAATCAAAAGTTTTTGGTTTAATTTTAAGACCAAAGGAAATCACTAAATTATTTTTTAATTCTATTTCTCTTAAAATCTCTGTATAGTTTATTAATAAATCAGTGTCAAGGTTTCCAGGAAAGACTCAATCTTAGATTTCATTGGTGAACAACCACTGTGTAAACCTGCAAAGTCACATGACTTTTCAGTTTGGCTGTGAAGAAAAGCAGTATTTTTATACTAAACCATATGATCTTAATTTGATTTTAAGGAATACTTCAGTATCCTCGTGAAAGAAAAGAAAACACCCTTCTTTTTGGATGGTTAATAAATGTATAGTTTAATGAACTGAGGAAAAGATCTGCTGTGAAGCAACTCTGAGGTATCAAGTTGCAGGGATGGTTTTGATCTGGATGTTTGTGAACTGTGTATGTCAGTTCTTCAGACAGTAAACGAAGATTTGTGAGTGCATAAACAAAAAACTCATGAAAGAACTAATGAAAAGATCAAGCAGGCAGGAATACAAAAATCTGCATAAATGCCAAATTGCAGATTGAATGAAGTTCTTTAACAATGAGAGCCAATAATAATAATAAAAAGCACAGTGAGTATAATTGAATTGTGAAAGAAAATGAAACAGGATTGTGTATGCACAGCAAGCATGAAATAAACCAAAAGGGCATGCTTAAATTAATGTAAACTTCTGATTCCATTAAACGTTTAAGTATTCTCTAAGTTCAAATCATGGTCATAATAATATGAACTTCATTGAAAGCTACATCACTCAAGGAAAAACACTGCACAAAACTGGGAAACTGTGAAGCCATGGACTGTTAAACTATGACTAGAATTAATGATGTAAGCAAATTCAGCTGGGGGTTAAGCATATAGGTACAACATGAGGAGCTGAATGCTGACTGTGTTTCAGTAGAAATGCCGTTCCACAAACACTGCAAAACTGTATTTGGCCATAAAAGATTTATTCCCTGTCCTCAGTGCTCTTGTT